ATAAATATGTATATCTGTCTTCCCTTATTTATACTATCACAAATAATTACCACATGTACAGTATAATAAAATGTTAAAATAAATATTTGATGTGGCTTTATGGAATAGGATGAAAGCTTATAGGTAGAGAGACAGATTTAGGTAAATAAATTTTCTATTATGTAGAGTTGTCCCATAATGGAAAAGATCTTCTCAAGGCAAGGACTATAAACACCAAAACAGTCCAACAAAGTGAAGCCACTTACTGGCAGAGATGCTACAAAAGGAACTGTTGCACTTGGTGGAGAGTAACTAATCCCTTAAGATCCTGTCCAACTAAAATATTTTATAACAACTTTATAAATTTTTGTTCACCAACTCAAACCAGAATTTACAACTTTTAAAAATTGTATTGGGCCAGGCACGGTGGCTCACACCTGTAATCCTAGCATTCTGGGAGGCCGAGGCGGGCGGATTCCTCTAGGTCAAGAGTTCGAAACCAGCCTAAGCAAGAGCAAGACCCCGTCTCTACTATAAATAGAAACAAATTAATTGGCCAACTAATATATAAAATTATTAACTAATATATAAAATTATTTCTATTAATATAGAAAAAATTAGCCGGGCATGGTGGCGCATGCCTGTAGTCCCAGCTATTCGGGAAGCTGAGGCAGCAGGATTGCTTGAGCCCAGGAGTTTGAGGTCGCTGTGAGCTAGGCTAATGCCATGGCACTCACTCTAGCCATGGGCAGAGTTTGTTGCCCTCTAGCCTGGGCAACAAAGCAAGACTCTGTCTCAAAAAAAAAAAAAAATTAATTGCACAACACCCTAAATGATAACAAAAAAATTTCATGTTTTATTACATATTAGTATCATTGATCAAATCACACTAGGCTTTCTCCTGGGAGTGCTTGTGTAAAAATATTAACTACTAATTAGACAGTAAAGTTTGATTCTAATATTAACAAAAAGTGAGAAGCAAAGAGGGTTATTAAATAGAGGTGATAAATGCACTGATTTTTATTGCTTTAAGGGTGACTTAAAACTTAGCTCTTCAGGTGCCTCATTTTATACATTGATGATAAAGGATTAAATATTGAGAGAAAAGCCAAGAACTCTAGGGAAAGCTAAGTAAAAATCTATCTGTAGTCATCAGTAATTGTGTTAAATCTAGTTAAGTAATATTAGAAAACAAGATCAAAGTCTATGAAATATACTAAATAATTTGTTCAAAACGATTGGGCAAATTAACATAATGCAGATTTGTTTGTTTTGTTTTGTTTGCGACAGGGTCTTTCTCTGCTGCTCAGGCTGGACTGCAGTGGCATGATCATAGCTCACTGTAACCTTGAACTTCTGGGCTCAAGCGATCTTCCTGTCTCAGTCTCCCAATAGCTAGGATGATAGGTATGTGCCACCACACCCAGCTAATTTTTATATTTTTTGTAGAGATGAGATCTCACTATGCTGCCCAGGCTGGTCTTGAACTCCTGGGCTCAAGCAATCCTCTTGCCTTGGCCTCTCAAAGTGCTAGGATTGCAGGCGTAAGCCACTGCACCTGCCTTAACATTTGTTAAAAACTAACTTTAAGACTTTTATGATAAAAAAAATCATGCATTACAGCAATTTCTTCTTTTAATTAAATTATTTTGCTTTTATAAAAAGCATACTAAATAAACAAAGAACAGTAACATTTTACATGTAATTATCTGAGAAGTTCAATGAGTGTTAGCTAACAAAAATTACTTCAGGTTTTTAAAGTATTCACATCCTTCCACATTTCCAGACACAACTTGTGACCATTTGATTTCCTCTCACAATTATATCAACTATCATTAAGTGGTATTAAGTATCTCTATAGGAGCAAGTTAGACTTTTTTTTTTTTTTTAAAGAGACGGGGTCCTTGTAATCCTAGCACTCTGGGAGGCCAAGGCAGGCGGATCACTTGAGGTCAGGAGTTTGAGACCAGCCTGAGCAAGAGTGAGACCCCGTCTCTACTAAAAAAATAGAAAGAAATTAGCTGGAGGACTAAAAATATATATAGAAAAAATTAGCCGGACATGGTGGCACATGCCTGTAGTCCCAGCTACTAGGGAGGCTGAGGCAGAAGGATCGCCTGAGCATAGGAGTTTGAGGTTGCTGTGAGCTAGGCTGACGCCACAGCACTCTAGCCCAGGCAAAAGTGAGACTTTGTCTCAAAAAAAAAAGAGACAGGGTCTTGCTCTTGCTCAGGCTGGTGTTGAACTCCTGAGCTCAACTTATCCTCCCAACTCGACCTCCCAAAGTGCTAGGATTACAGGCTTGAGCCACCATACCCGGCCTATAAGAGCAAGTTAAATAGAGACAGGTCCTGCCCTTTCAGCTAAGTTTCAATGATGTGGATGAAACAAAACTCTTGACACCTGTTACAAGCCCTTCAGATGTCAAATTAAATAAGTAAATATGGCACTTACATATTTGCCTATTGTAGAGTGTGTGTACATTTCACACTTTCCTCAAGTCATTGTTTCATGGAAGTTTTTTCCTAGCCACTATAGGATCATTCAGACCTTTTGATTTTTAGGAAATGAAGATGAAAGATACTGGGGTGAGCAAGGATAATAGCTTGTCCAATTTAAGTCCTAAATTTTTGCCTGAAAAATTTAGCTCTAGAAATAACCACAAACAGCTCTAACATGACTCCCACACTGAAGAAAACATCTCATCTACAAGTTCATTTTGATCTATGTTGTTGGGAAGTTGAGACTAGAGGGAAGTGTGTTTTGATGCACATTCAATTTCTAAAGCTCTGGGAACGGCTTCTCACACCAGCCTTCAAGGCCCATCCTCCTGCCTGAAGAAATTCAGATGCCACCCAGGGTGCCGCTGAAATGGACCATGAAGAAAAGAGGGAGCTCTGGAAGCATGTGTCCAAGCCTCCCTCCCTAAAGTTCCCACACATCAACAGAGTAGTACAGACCAGATCAAAGGACTGCCCTCCCTCCTGAGCCTGCCTCTTCTTTGTCCTACAATTTGCCAACATGCACATGCAGTCCACTACATCTGTACTAACATCCCAAGTCCTTCTCCTGCTTACACCATGGCTCCAAACATGCCAGGAACCATATCCACCTGCAATAAGCCTTCCCTAAGAACCACATCCCTCCTGTGAGCCTGCTATTCAGAAGCGCCTCAACACCCAGACATTTGGGGACCCCATGCCATTTTGCACTTACTGAAATACTGCTTGTTACCGTTTTTACGCCGCTTCATGTGAGTGGGTTTCGGCTCCCAAATTAAATTACAAGCTGCTTGAGGACAAGGACTGTGCCTTTTATCTCTTTTGAATCCACCCACAATGTCCAGAACAATGCCCAGCACATAGCAGATGCTCAAGAAATGGTGGTTGGTGGTGATGGTCATGGCTGGAAGTCAGAGGGCAGCTGAATCTCCATATGTGGGTCCATCTTCAGTCACTACTGAGAGAGTCCCAAGGGGCATATGATGTCACTCCCCTCCCTCACCACCTCCAACCCCAGAGGCCACAGCCCTTCCAGGAGGACACCTGGTTTCCAGGCCTAAGAAGTCATGTTCAGTCCCTCATCACGCCCTCCCTTTTAGTAGAGTCTTTCTCCCTCAAGGCCTTATGGGGAAGGCCTGTCTATTTTGGGAACCACCCTTAAATATTTGTAACAAAGTGAGTCTCTGAGAGGCCCCCGGTTTCCTCACTTTAGGAGTGGAAATGAACAGAATTGCCACCAAGCAATCTTCAAAGCTCGACAAGAGGGGGAGCATCTGGTGGTACAGTAAGCACCAGGTGGGTCCCTAACTTCCAGCTCTCCTGCCCAGACCAGGGGTTCTCAAGGGGAACCCTTACAGTTACTGCAACGGCAGCAGCAGCACCTGAACCCAAAAATATAGGGTCCAGCTGTACCTGGCCTTGGGCTGAACACAAGTCTAAGATCTTAGCAAACTAGCCTTTTTCTTTTTTCTCACCCAATGCGCTGGACCCCTGTATGGAGCCTGGGCGGCAGTGGGCCATGAGCTCATTCCCGTCCCTCTCTGGAGATGTTTCTTCATCTGTAAAGCGAAGGGCTCGGACTGGTGATCCTGAAGCCCCCTCCAGTTCGAAAACTGACGAGTACAGAAGAGTCCGGACGATTTCTGCCCCCTTGCCTCAAACCCCCCGTGTCCTGGGCGCGACGTGGGGCCCTCGTCGGGTCAAGGAACATTAGCTCCAAAGACCTCAAGTTGCGGCCAGGCTGAAAAGGCCTCCGCAACGTCCCTCTCCTACGCCTGGGTTTAGCAGAGGAGCGAGCCAAGCCGGGAACTCCCGGATAGAGCGGTTGTTCGGGCCCCAACCACCGTCAGCGCCTGGGCGCACACCCTTCTCAGGTCTCTCTTCTCCCCAACCCCACCGGCGCACGGCCCCTGCTCACCCTCGCGAGGCAGTGGAGCTCCCAGAGCGCGACAGCCTCAACTGCAGATACCCAAGCCCAGCACGCGACCTGGATTTCTCCACGCAAGGCAGCCAGGCTGTGTACAAAGTCGCCATAGCAACGGGGCGCTTCCGGGGATTCCGGAAGTGTCAGGGGTGGCGGAAACGAAGTCCGAGGTCCTAAGTCTAGGATACGGGTAAGGTCATGGTAGAATAGAGAAGATGAGAGATGGGGCCTATTAATGTGGACAGACTGCAGCAGCTGCATCGCGGAGCCAAGGTCGGGGTAGCGAGGAAAAGAAGGCTGCGTGCGAACCAGGAAGCAGGGCATCGGGGCTTCCGGCATAGAGGCGTTTGCCACTACGGCGGCCGCGCAGGCCCATCCTATTCCAGCTCCGCGCTCTGAGCGGCTGTCGGCGTGCTCCCTCGCCCCGCCTTGGTTAGTGTGGAGCCGGCCGGCCAGGCCTGCGCAGTTGCGGCGGCCGGGGAAGATGGTGGAGGACGGCGCGGAGGAGCTGGAGGACCTGGTGCACTTCTCGGTGTCCGAGTTGCCTAGTCGCGGCTACGGCGTCATGGAGGAGATCCGGCGGCAGGGCAAACTGTGCGACGTGACGCTCAAGGTACCGCGGGATCGGCGGCAGCTGCGGACTGAAGAAAAAGGGGCCAAGCGGGGAGAAAAGAGAGGCGGGGGACCGGGAAAAGGAGGTCGAGCAGGGAGAAGGGTAGAGGGAAGAGGCTGGAGAGGGACTAAGTAAGAGAGGGTGATTGGGCCGAGTGGAGAGGAGGAGAGGAACCATCTTTCAGCCCTTGGAAGGAAAGGTTGAGAGGTGCGCCGCTTAGGCCCTTGGAGTGGGAGACATTGGGGTGCCCGCGTCCTTTTTCTGTCTCACAGAAAAGAGAAAATTGACTTACAGCCCCTCTATGGAGGAAGGGGCGGTGGCTGGCTCCACATTCTGATGCACCCCTGAAGCATCTTCTCTTGTCATCGTAGACATTTCTTTGTGGCCCTCGAAGTTGGCTGTGCTGTTGTAGAGCAGAAGGTTTCTCTTTAGGAGTCATTGCCTGCCCTTGATTGTTAGATTACTATTTTGTCTTTCAAGAGATTATAAATTTGATCTAGGAAATTTTTGAGGTGGGAAGCTACTCTGTCTCACACTGGAAGGCACCAACCATTACCACTACGACAAAGTTCCCAGAGGCTGGGCTGACGGGCTGTGTGGGGAGAGGGATGCTGACATCAAGAGGAGGTTTCTTAACCAGCAGCATTCTGGTCACAAGAGCCAGCCTTCCTCCTATGCTTTGGGTCCTTTCCTACCAGAGAGGCAAGCTGTGTTGCTGAGCCATGTGCTCCAGTTGGAGAGATGATGCTGCAAGTGGTGTTCCCTGTTGGGCTCTGGCTGGAAGGCTCTCAGCGTGTGTGAGTGATCCCCTGTTTAAGAAAAAAAAAGCGCTATTCAGAGATCTGTTTGCTCTTCTAATTTTTACGTGGTTAAGGAAACTTTTCTTTTTCCACATATTTGAGTCACACCTCTGGAGGTGGTAGAGTAGGATGGTTAAGAGTGTGGCTTTGGAGACAGGAGGATTTGGATTAAAATCCGAGTTGTAACCTTGAGCAAATTACTTAATCTCTCTAAGCCTCGGTTTTCCAAAGGTAAAAATAGTGATGATTCCTAATTAGCAGTATTAGTGTGAGGGTTAAATGAGAAAATTTGCGGTATTCTTTGCATTATATTTGGCAAAATTTTTTCATCACTCTAGATGCCTCCTGATGGAGGTTGGTTTTCTAGGAGAGGAGTGAAATGGTCCGAGAAGGGACAGGGTCTTCTCTAATGGCTGAGGAGTACCAAGAAGATTGAGAAGGAGGCAGAGGAAGTAAAAATAAATGAGAAGTTTTTGTCAACAGTGATTATATGGTGGAGATGTTGATGCCACTAAAAGAAAGATCTGGTTGTGGTGGTAACACTTGGTTTGTGAAGAGATTGTTGAAAAGCAGTAATAGGGGAGAATTTTTGGATTAAGATTTAGTCTGTAAGGGTGAGTCAGGGAAAGCTTGTAAGACAGAAGATAAAAGGACATGGTAGAGTCACAGATACTTCTACATAAATTAAAGTATGATAGTACATTTTGCCTCTGCATCTGATACAAGTACAGAATATAGCAAACTTGAAGCAGAAAAATGCTTTTTTGATTTTTCCACTAAGCTGTTTTTTGTTCATTCAAAAGGACAAGTAAATTATCTGACATAGTTCAACTGAGAGGGTCCAGTTTGAATTGTTGTGTTAGTTTCAAGGATCTGGGACATAAGGACCAGTATAAAGGCCTAAGCTAGAGCTGGACAGGACTGTAGATAGCATTTATTTCATTGGTTTTGAAACTATTCTTTATAGCCTGAGGAGTAGCTCTATAGCAATGTGATGGTGGGGGCCAGGGAAAAGGCAAGGAAACCAGGCTCTGTCACATCTCCCTACCCCCACCAGAGCTGCTCTGTGAAATCTGTTTTGGTCTCTCCCTTTCTTGATAGAGATATTAAATATCTGGTGATTCCAGTCTGTTTTTCAAATAAAAAGGCACTGGAAAGCTGGTTGCAAGCTTTTTGGTGTGTGATGGTTTATAGTGGGCCTCCCTGTAGGGCAGTGATTCTCAAACTTTAGCAGGCTTTAGAATCACCTGGTGGCCTTGTGAAAATATTGGTTGTTGGGCCTCACCCCAGAATTTCTGATTTATTAGGTCTGGCCTGGGCCCAAGAATTTACATTTCTGACAGGTTCCCTAGTGATACTACTCCAAGTGGGGAACTACACTCTGAGAGCCATGGCTGTAGGGTGATGGGCCTATCCTTTTCATGGGATATGTTCAGAGTCCATAGAGCTTCCTTCAGGCTTCTTCCTAGGTTGTATAAGTCTGGCTGTTATTCTGGGGACCTTATAGTGGGAAGGGATTGGGGGCTCTCCCTTCTGTATGCAGAGACTTTCACTTAATCCTTCTGAATGGTGCTACGTATCATGTCTTCAGTGTTGCCCTGGTTATCCAAGTCTAGAGTCTCTAGTTCATCCTGTGCAAAAAGTAAACCTTCAGTTTTCTGCTAGGGCAGTGATGGAGCAGTTGCTTGCCTGGGGAGGGGACCAGTACTTTTCTGTTTTCAGCTCCTCCTCATGTTGGCATCTTCTGAGGAAACAGGTGCCTCTGATGGTTGAATTTTGGAGGGGGTTCTGCAGTGTCCTGCCATCTGCAGCACTCAGTATTCTGTATCTAGGTCAGTTATTACTCATTTGTTTTTCATCTTCTAAAATTTTGTTGACTCTTCCTAATCTGTCTCTCTCTGCTTCTTTCCTTCGGAGGTTTGCTGTTCCTGGATCATTGGTCTGAGAAGGAGTATTACACAAATTCTGGAGTCAGACTGCTGGTTTTGCATTCTGGTTCTGCCACTGATTAGCTGTGAAAACTTGAGCAACTTCCTTAAGCACTGGTGATTCATTTTCTTCATCTGTAAAATGGGGTTCATCACCTTCTTGAGTGTTAAGGATTCTATTAGTTAATATACTTCAAATAATCATGTAGTAGATGCTTAGTAAGTAGAATATATAAAGAATAAATAATAATTTAATGGGGTTTTTAGAAGGCGTGGAGATAAATGCATGCATTCAACCTGCCATTTTGAATTTGCTTTAGCTTCTGATGAAATTTAGATGATTTTATTTATTGATTGATTGATTGAAACAAGATCTTGCTCTGTTGTCTGAGCTAGGGTACCTTGATGTGACCATAGCTCACTGCAGCCTTGAACTCAAGCGATCCTCCTTTCTTGACCTCCCAAAGTGCTAGGATTATAGGCATGCGACACCATGCCTGGCTGGATGATTTTAAATGAACAAAATGTTTATTGCCTTAAAAGAGTTTGAAAACATCTGCTCTGCTTAAATAGCTTGCATTTTATAGATGGGGACCCAATCCCAAAAGGGGAAGGGACTTGTCCAAGCTCACAGATTGAATTAGGTATAACTAGGACTATATTCCTAGTCTCCATATGCAGGTGTTCAGATGTTCTTTCATGTTCTCCTGTTGCTTACCTCTTCTGTCACTGGCAGTAACTGAACTGATTTCAGCTGCTACCATATGAATTTACTTCAGGTCTACTGTGCTCATCCTTAACAACATGTCATCTTTTCTATCTTTCGGAGTTTTAGGGATAGTGTGGAAGTGAGTATTAGTAGGCATACCACATTCTCAAAATTCACTGCCAACACTTGAATCTAGACTTAATTTCCTTTTTGGAAATATTTGAAATTTAAATTCCCTGAGAGGCTGCTGGATAGTTAGGTAGAGATATGACAGAAAAGAATAATATATTAGCTTTTTTAAAAAGTCATATTCTCTATCATTGGTGACTTGGACCTATTATCAGAAAAAGTCTGTGGTCCTTTTCTTTGTAAATCACTTTATTTTATTTATTTTTTGTTTTTTAAGGACGAGGTTCCGGAGCCCTGAGAGGGGAGCCCCGGAAGTCGCCCTTGTAAATCACTTTATATTAAAGGTTAGGAGAATAGTAGTACAAGACTTCTTGGCAACCAATGGCATAAGACTTGGTCTGGGTAGAAAGGTTTGCATTCATGGAGGCTCTCATGCCCTCTTCTCAATGGTTGGTTTCATCTCCTTTCCTCTGAGCTGCCAGGAACCCAAGGCTCAGGCAGTGTCGTCATGTTAATCTGGGTCCATCCAGTTGAGCAGACTCCTCAGATTTAATGAGTGTTCTTACTCATAAGATCTGGAGCCACCAGGTTCCTATATTTCTATTCTCCCTTCACCTCACATAATCATTTTCTTTTTCTATATTTATGAGAGCAGAATGGGGTCACCAAAGCTGTATATTACAGACCTATAAACTTAGAGGAGAGTGGCCTTCCTTATGTATACACATACACTGTTTTGCAACCACTGATAAATGGTTTCTAAAAGATCTGTTGCCATCAGTCTTCTCAGCATTTTCCCAAGGCCCCCACTGAGATTTTTTACCTGGATCTGAGAATTTAACCTTTAGAAGAAATGTTTCTTCCATGGGTAAAAGGCACAGTATTAGAATATTTCCTTTTGACCCACTAAATGCACACTCACAATTTTCACTGAATCTGGCTTTGAGAGCTATACGTTGGAGTCTGGAATCTTGCCCAATTTGTTGTCACCACTGGCATTGTGATGACAGAGTAGGTGGAGGAGGATGTCAGGAAATGAAGTAAGGACTTGTTGTTGCATGCTGTTTGTATGTTATGTTATGTGTAGTGAGTAACACAGGGATAATTATAGAGCTAGAATAATCATATTTAAAGGAGCTGTAGAGGTTCTCTATCAAAGCCATTTCTTTTACAGATTAAAAAAACCCTCAGGCTTAGAGCTATTAAGGGATTTGCCCAAGGCACAAAGCTATATTAGTTGAGATCTAACACAGCTGTTTATTGGTAGAAGCGATGCTTTTACATCCTGTGTCAGATTACTCACCTGCCCTGCTGATGGTATGAAACAGAATAGGGAACAAGCCATCTTCAGTCATTTTTGAGCATGGAGCGCAGTGATATGAATGTCCAGATGTAACACCACTGTTCTATTTCAAGAGAGAAGGAAGATGCAGGCTTCCTCACCTAGTCTTCTAGACATATGAATTCTTGACTCTTTGATTTTGAAATGACATAATATTAGAAAACTTGTGTATCTGAGTATTGCTCATTCCTAGGGTTTTCTGTTGACTTTTTTCAGATAGTTGGGTTCATCTTCAGCCTTTTCTCTTTTTAATGAGCAATTAGAACTGAGAAAAAGAATATGTTCCTTTAGGGGCAGAGTTCTTGAGATATGAATTTCATATTCATCAAAAATTCAGTTTTGATCTCTTTTTTGTTCAAGTTATGTTGTAGGTAATGCTGTTAAATTTGGACACCAACTAGATGAGAGACCTTGATGCTGCGTGACATGAGTGGAAAAAGAGAGTTGGAGGTACAGCCTGGAAAATCTCTTACCAGCCAAGCAACATTCATTGGGTTCACTCTGAGGCTCTGGAGCTTGGTCGGCTATCTGACTAGGTGAATTTAAGAAGCCTATGTTTGGGGATGTTTCTTACCGCAGACAGTTTTTTTATTATTTTGTACATGAGACACCATTGTTTGCACCTTGGCCCCTGCCTTAGCTGGTAGGCTGGTTGATAGAAAATGAAACCACACTGTTTTTCTAAAAGCGTGTTTCTATCCCTTCCTAAATTACAAGCATAGTGTCCACCTTTCTACTTTAGACTTGTTGAGTGTTAGCACTCTTGTTGCCTCTTTGGCATGGAACCAGCTAGCTTCTGTGAAGTTAGCTTAGGAAGACCTTATGAAGAATATTCAAATAGCTGATTTTATCACCACTTGTTTCCAGTTGGGGACAAAATGGAGTGAACTAAAGTGTGTGAACTAGGAGTTGGCAAACATTTTCTATAAAGGACTTGATAGTAAATATTTTAGGATTTGTGGATAATAATGGTTTTAGTTGCAACTACTCTGTGATGTTGTAGTGCAAAAGCAGCCATATGTAATACATAAACAAATGGGTGTGACTATGTTCCAATTACACTTTACCTATACACACAAGCATGAACTAAATCCCTTGGCTATAGTTTACTGACCTCTGTCATATACTGATACAGCGTTTGTAAAATTTGGGGTTTGTGGAGTAGGTAACAATTCTTTTATTGCCCCGATGTATACTCCTGTGGTTTCAACGCAGTATCTAGGAATTGGGAGCATCTCTTGTTAAAGAGTACAGATGAACCTGAAGTGAAGAACTTTTTTTCCAGCTTATTGCAGGTGATCATGGGACTGTGCTGGCTGGTAAATGAATAACTGACATAGGAGAAGTTACTGTTAAATTTTGCATCTCATCTTGTAGCTCTGCTGGAACTTGAAGCAGAATGTTTCCAAAGTGTTAACTAAAGACACTATGTTCCCTTTCTGTCTCAGTTGAAGCTGAGGATGCTTAGCTGCCTGCAAAATGGCAGGCCAGAGGAGACAGTGTTGGCTTCTATGTTCCAGTTGAACATATGTTTTCTGTTCAGGTCCTTGAAAATAAGGGTCAGAATTTGGGCTTCACCAGGCAAAGTAGAGGATCAGTAGTTCAAATATGACCCAATATAGTGGTATGTGTGGGCAGAGTGTGCTGAATATCTGATCAGAACACAAAAATGCTTTTCAAAAAAATAAGCTCAAGAACAGATACTTGTACACCCATGTTCATAGCAGCATTATTCACAATAGTCAAAAGGTAGAAGCAACCCAAGGATCCATCAGTGGATGAATGGATAAACAGAATATGGCATATACATACAGTGGAATATTATGTAGCCTTAAAAAGAAAGGAAATTCTTCTATAACATGGATGAACCTTGAAGACATATGCTACGTGACATAAGCCATAAGTCATATAAGTGTTAAAGGGACAAATGTTGTATGTTTCTACTTATGTGAGGTCCCAAGAGTAATCAAAATCATAAAGACCAAAAGTAAAATGGTGTTTGCCAGAGGCTGGGAAGAAGGGGGATTGGAAGTTACTGTTTAATGGGTGCAGAGTTTCAGTTTGTGAAAATGAAAAAGTTCTGGAGATGGTTAGTGGTAATGGTTGTAGAACAATGTAAATGTATTGAATGCCACACAACTGTACACTTAAAAATGATTGAAATGGTAAGTTTTATGTTATTTGTATTTTATCACAATAAAAAAGAGAGCGATAATAAGCTCAAGAAAACTTGTTATCAGGTGGGCAAGTGAGGTTCCTTATAGTGCTTTGTGACTCTATAGGCACTAAAAACAGAATTTATCTCTGTTTCCCAACCTATTGATCAGAAACATTTGATACTAAGGAATTATCTTTCCTACACTATTTTTTGTAGTATGCTGCCTCAGCTGTTAAGAGCCAAATTGTATTAGCTCAGCCCTGTAGCTGCTCTTCAAATGGTTCCTTAAAAGGAATGCTTCTAAGAGATACATATTCAAGTGATGTGTACATGATGTGAGCTTATTTTTCCTGTGTTTTATAAAATCTAAATGTCCTGTAACCTTGATGGAGCCATCCTGAGGACCAGCAAAACACTCTGTGCTAACATTTCTTTCTCTTCTCTTCTCTTCTCTTCTCTTCTCTTCTCTTCTCTTCTCTTTTCTTTTCTTTTCTTTTTTGAGATAGAGTCTCACTGTGTTGCCTGAGCTAGACTGCCGTGGCGTCAGCTTAGCTCACAGCAACCTAACTCCTGGGCTCAAGCGATCCTCCTGCCTCAGCTTCCTGAATAGCTGGGACTACAGGCATGTGCCACCATGCCCGGCTAATTTTTTCTATATATTTTTAGTTGTCTAATTAATTTCTTTCTATTTTTAGTAGAGACAGGTCTCGCTCTTGCTCAGGCTGGTCTTGAACTCCTGACCTCAAGTGATCCTCCCACCTTGGCCTCCCAGAGTGCTAGGATTATAGGCGTGAGCCACCATGCCCGGCCTGTGCTAGCGTTTCTTCCAAGTAAAGGTGCATTGGCATAGTCTACAAATAACTAATAGCTTTTGAATCTATATCTCTACCCCTTATTTTGCTCTCAGTTGGTAGACCTGCATTTCCATTTGTCCTATGGATCCTCAATTTTGTCCAAGATGAATCCTCTTGCCCTTCTAAACCATCCCTTCTTTTGTTTCCTTTGCGGAATGATGGCACACTGTCCATCTAGTCATGCATGATTGAAACTCTGGAATTATCTTTGGACCACCCTCTCTTTTATGTGTATTTTGTGGCACTTATCACAGTAGCAATTACATAATTATTTATGGTATTGTAACGCCATGAGAGTGTGTGACTGAATTATTTATTGAGATGTCTACATAATAGGTGCTCAGTAAACCACTGTCCTAATTGAGATCCTCTTCACCTTTTACCTAACCCAGGATTGCATGTTGAGAGAATTCTTACAGACCCTTTAGGGAATTATTCTTGTGCTGCTCTCAGATTGTTTTTCTTTAGGCTTAGCTCTGCTCTTGTTCTGCTCTGAGTGGCTTCCCATTTCATTTTCATTCAACAGTATACTTGGCAGATATGTCAACACCTTGCATGTGCCAAGCACTGTTGTAAGTGCTGAGGGTGCAGCAGTGAGCAGAGTAGGCGAAGCCTCTGTGAGTGTGAGCTTGCATTCTAGTGGGGTGGCAGACAATAAATAAACAGATGGAAAGTGTCCAGTGCTGATAAGTGCTATGAAGAAAAATAAAGCAGGATATCTGAGGGAAGAGTAATTTAGCCAGAGGGAATAGTAAGCACAGAGCCCTGAGGCAGGACCATATTGGTACTGAGCTATTAATAGAATCTGGTGATTCTTACATTTTGTGCACAAGAAAGTTCAAGAAGTATTGACTTTACACATTGCTTCTACTCTCCCCCCCTCTTTTTTTTTTTTTTTTTTTTGAGACAGAGTCTCGCTTTGTTGCCTAGGCTAGAGTGAGAGCCGTGGTATCAGACTAGCTCACAGCAACCTCAAACTCCTGGGCTCAAGCAATCCTTCTGCCTCAGCCTCCCGAGCTGGACTACACAGGCATGCGCCACCGTACCTGGCTAATTTTTTCTATATATATTAGTTGGCCAATTAATTTCTTTCTATTTATAGTAGAGGCGGGGTCTCGCTCTTGCTCAGGCTGGTTTCGCACTCCTGATCTTGCACAATCTACTCACCTCGGCCTCCCAGAGTGCTAGGATTATAGGCGTGATCCACCATACCCTGCCTGGCTAGTTCTTGAAGGAAATTCTATTCTCCACACAGTGAAAATCAGATATCAGAAACTTGTCAGAGAAACAGGCAGTAAAGCAAAGCTTCTCAGCTCTTGGTGGTTTTAAAGGGTACCTCTACTCCATGTTGGGTAAAGTTGTCTTTTTTTCCATCCATATGGCCTACTATATATCATCAGGCTGTCCTGAGGGGTGATGGGAATGCAGGAGCAGCAGGTGGTGGCTAGTTTTCAGTAGGATTTAGGAAAGGACTGCTGATTTAACTGAATCTCTGATTATTCTAAGCTGCTCATAGAAATCCGTAACTTCACTACTGTGTCAGATGTAAGAGGGAGAAGCTTAAGAATGTTCTGTTGTTGTTGACAACCTCTCTCAGGTGACTTTTCCAGCACTTCCAGCTGTCAGTTTATTTTATTTTATTTTATTTTATTTTATTTTATTTTATTTTATTTTATTTTATTTTATTTTATTTTATTTTATTTTTGAGACAGAGTCTCACTTTGTTGCCCAGGCTAGAGTGAATGCAGTGGCATCAGCCTAGCTCACAGCAACCTCAATCTCCTGGACTCAAGCAATCCTCCTGCCTTAGCCTCCCAAGTACCTGGGACTACAGGCATGTGCCACCATGCCTGGCTAATTTTTTTTTCTATATATATTAGTTGGCCAATTAATTTCTTTCTATTTATAGTAGAGACGGGGTCTCTCTCTTGCTCAGGCTGGTTTCAAACTCCTGACCTCGAGCAATCCGCCACAGGTATGAGCAATCTGCCACAGGTGTGAGCCACCACGCCCAGCCCCAGCTGTCTTTTTGATATTCATAGTCCTCCATATAGCTGCTTGTCCTATCTCAAACAAACAAACAAAAAGTCCTCCAGACTTGGCCCCTCTCTGCTGTCCTCCCCTAGTTGCCCATGGTCTTCTCCTGCAGCAGGCAGCTGTCTCTTCATGACCTATGTTCTCCATCTTCTGGGCCTTTGTTCTACTATTCTTTTGGCTTAGAGTATCTGCTCACATCTGCCAGGCAGAGTCCTATTCATACTTCAAAGCTCCTTTCATATTTTCTATTCTCAAGGGACCCATGCCATCTTCTTTATTTTGCTGTGTGTTGTCACAGTGGGGGCTTATGTGAAGTCCCATCTGTCTGAAGACAGTCTTCTCACATTCTTCCAGGTGTAGTTACTCTCTCCCTCTTCCCTTGTACCTTAACCCCTCATTTCTC